AATATATAATCGGCATATATATAGCTTCCTATTATTCATGTGTGAAGGACTAATATGACATAATGCCTCGAGTCTTGACACGTGACGAATACTAAACCGCGTGGATTTGTGTATGAGGCCGTGTTATTGAAACAATATCAAGGCCGTAACACCAGTTTCATTATAACAAATTTTAATTGTCATGTGTAAATTATTTCTTTTTTTGTGTGACAATTTAAACAATATATGCCATTTAATTTCATTAAAAGATGATTAATGCATATAAATATAACATTAAAATGAATTAAATTTAAAAATAAAATAAATATCAAATTTAATATCGTGCAGACATATTGCAGATATATCTATATTAAATTTGAAAAAAAGTAGTAAAAGTAGTAATTTTAAAAAATAGATATCACTACCTTATTAGATCAAATACAAGAATAATTATCTTAGATCTTCCAGAAATGTCATAATTAAGGATAAGTATCAATAATTCTTAATTTTAATATTTAAAAATCTTGGATTTCAAATTATGCTTTTTATGTATAAGAGATCATTGCTTTCGCATATCATCATTATAAAAATGATTTAAAAATTTAACATGCATATGTAATCTTCTCCCGCGAATTAATGATTGAATCACAAGAAGTAAAACTCGAATTCTCAAAATCAAGTTAAAATTTAATTGAATCGCGACTGCAAATATAATGTATATATGACAAAATATATATAACAAATATCAAATTAATTCTCAAGATCTATTTGTTAAATATCATAGTATCATATCAAATAATAAATATGGAAAACAGATATTTGCCAATGCACGCTAATTTTCTCAAAACTGGTTCTAACAGAAAAATAATTATAAATATAAATTTAAATGTCCTCTTTTACATTAAAGTTGATTATTTCCGCAAACAGCATATATAATTCACGAGTGTATATAATTAACGAGTTGTTAATATTTCGTAAAGTAAAAGAAAATTTTGTGCAATAATATTGTATTTTTATACAAAGTCCGCATAGCTAAGTTTAACAACCGCGTTTGTAAAATAGCAACGTACATACAACGCAAATTCATTGAAATGGAAAATAATATGCGTATAATAATAGGATGATAAAATAATAAATAAATAGAATTTTAATAGAAATGCGAATGCAATTCTAGCTGTTGTGTTTGTCGAGATTAATTTGTAATTCGATTGAGCAAATCGTGTATATTTTTATCAATATCTGTCAACGAACTACAACGGTAGTGACGTTAGTTGCATTGTTTCCCAAATAATAAATATGGAAAAAACATATTCGCCAACGCGCGTGATTAATTTTCCGGACGGTGCAATATGGCAGCTGTGCAATTTTCACGATACGAAGCTTGCAGCGGAACAATAAACTAGTTTACATGATTTGCGAGACGATACTGTAATAACAGTGGAAACTCGACACGGACTCATATCTAATAGAATGCCAACCGTTAATTAATGCTTTTGCACACGGGAGATGGTCACAAAGACAATGAGAAAAATAGCCTCCGCGTTAAAGGTTAAATGAATATATCTGTCGTTGTGATTATGAATTATTTTTTTATATTAGATTTGTAGAGACAGCAAATGAAAGTTCAATAATCAACTATTTTTTCTATTTTCTATTTTTAAATTTTATACTTAATTTGAACAGATTTATTCATAAATTTTTAAAGTTTCAAAGTTTCGGTTGTTATCTAATCAAAAGTAATACATAACATTAACGTTTTATTAATTTGTTATGTGACTTTTATCAATAGATTATGCTTGATCAAATTCAATGATAAAATTAAGGTGTTACTATAATTTTTCATTTTTCGAACCATAATTCATCAATCATCGATTTACAAAAAATGTCAAAATTAAACAAAAATTATTCATTGTTTGTAAATCAAATTCAGTTCGTTTGGATGCAAACATTTTTATGAAATATATATATATATTAACTGTGTTTATGTATTGTGTAATAATTTTTCAAATAAAATATATATAAAAGATTATTTTTCTTTTCTTTAAGAGAAATTAATATTCGATATTAATATTCTATTTCTTAGTATTTTATGATAACACGCGTATTTATAAAGCTGATTTGTTCGAATTTAAATAGTTGGATTTTTTATTTCAAGAAAATAACAACGACATCTTTCTTTCCTTCAAGATCGAGTTGAGCGAACAATAGACAATGTAAGTGAGTGAGATACTTAATAAATTTCTTTTTGTCAATTTTGCACGTTCGACTTGGGAATAATGCCACTTGGAACAAAAGCATCATCAAGGAAAAAACTTGACAGAGTTTAAAAGCAGTTTTTTTAGACTTTGAAATTGTTTGTTCGAAAATTGTTTTACAGTTATTTTTTTTTTGCAGTATTATATAGATTTATATTTCGTGATTTTTGTTAATTTGAATCCTTTAATTCTGTTAAAAAAATACGTCACGCGGCTATTACAATTAAATACGATCGAGATGTTCATCATTGTGATGGAACTTTTTTATTAATTTCGATAAATTTACATAAATGATAAAGGTTTCTCTGATTGTAATAAATATTTACGATTTGCGAACGGTTGTATAGAAATATTTGTTATTACTATCGCTTTTTCAGTATCTTGAATCATGATTACCGCAAATAAGAATTTTGACCAAGATCTATCTGAGCAATCTATTTCAGGAAAAAAAATCCTGACGGATGAAATTCCCACAATATACCTATTACATATAGATATGACACAAATAATGATTTATCTTGCGCATGAAACTGATCGTGCGAGAACCTACAAATGTTATGGAAATAAAAAAAATATTAGATGATTTGCTCCTGGATAAATAAAAATACGCAAAAATTACAATTCACAGTTTGGTGAAAACCTGTGATTGACTATGGAAAGCTTATTGAAATCATTATTCCAGAAATGTAAAAGACAGCTTTCTGCGTTATAAAATAACTTTTGAAACCAATCATTGCAATTTCTAGGCTATATAAAAGGAGTATTTAAGTACTTGTTATATTCCTACATTTTTCAGTCGTACATATTAAAAATGCTTCAAAATCGAGTGGGCGGAAATTGTGTTTCTAACATTTTCATAAAGTAGAGAGGTCTTATCTTAAATTACCATAAAAAAACCGTCTTCTCGTGCGAACAGCGAAAATTCTTGAAAAAAGAGAATTGAAATTCTACGAATAAAAAATTCTACGAATATGACTAGACTAGTATGAATATCATAAAGAGTGAATCCTTTAGGAACGAAATGAATCTTCATTTTAGGAGTACGAGAGAAATTAAAGAATACGAGAATTTTAAACGCAAAATGCAGAAATTCATCGAATCAGTTACATTATGAAATTAAATTAAGAAACAATTGGTTATACAATATTCGATGCCAACATAACGAATCGTAAGTTTTGATCGGTCTAATCAATTAATCAATCAAAAAATTAAGAGGAAATAAATCAAAATTCGCGAAACTGTAATTTAAACTGTTGCACGAATTAATTTTGTTAAAAATAACGCGCTGCTTTCTAAAAAGTTTAAGTGGGAACGAGAAAAACCCTGAAAAAGTCACTTTTAATAATATATTTGTAAAATCGAATTTGCTCCCCATTTAAATGCAGTTTTTATCTCTTCGCGTGGCTCGACGAGAGGCGAATTCGTCGCATGGCGCACGTGCAACAGTTTGCATGGAGCAAATAATGACTTCTAGACAAACGGATCAAACGGGATAATTAAAACCAATGTTGTAAGATTACGTACGCTTATTCTGCTTCGCATTTGGACACTTGCCATCGGCCTGCCGCGACGGCACTTCGCAACTAGTCGCGAAATAGAAACGACGCGCGTGAGTTGATTGAATCAATTCTTTTCGGCGCGCACGCGATATATTTTCGTACTCTCCTATATTTTATGTCATTTAACTCACTTTAATCTGATTCGTTAAAAAAGGAAAAGTACGCGTTTTAAAATTCTACCCCGCAAATTTTTCCGCATAGGATGCGCTCCATGCGCATCAATTAAATAGCAAAAATTAGAAGAGGATTCGTGTGCTTAGCAACGTAGGAAACGGTATATCCTACTTTCGGAGCCGCAGTAATTGCAAAAGTCACGATAACGTGTGAAATATTCTCTTCGGTTTTCTCGGTTTTCTGCGGTGAAAGAACCGTTGCCTGTTCGGCGGCGAAATATTTTACGTGGCGCGAGAGATTAATGATCGCCAGTAGTATAGACGGTCTTTTAAAACGACGGCAGTAGATGACGATACGTCGGGCCAGACACCGCGGTACCATCGGCGTAGAACGATACTTCGCCAGTTAGATAGCACGCTTCGCGGCTTCGCGTGATAACGGATAAATGCTCCCGGGAAGAGTTTAATTGCGAGCATATACATGGTTAAGAACACTCATTTGCCGAGGAATTTCTGCATTTTCGCTTAGTGCGCCTTTATACGCGAATCGCAGGGGGACTGTCGCGCGCGGACGATACGAGCTATAAAAGAAAAAAACCATGCGGCGAGACCACTGCGGAAAAGTTTCCTTCCGCATCGAATGGGAAAATTTTCCCTGAGGCAATTTCAATTAAAAGAGAATTATTCCGTAATCGGCGAACCGCGCGGCGAGAGCGCCATTTCGAATTGCAAGAGAATTCGCGATGCACACGGAATGCTTTTAAGATCGATATATAACGGTTCGTTTGTCGAACGAAACGGGTTGCCGTATCGGGAAATCATCGTAAAGACGCGGTAGCTGTATCAGGCACCCGAGACAACTTAAGCCTATCACTAACCCAAGCTCCAAATCCTCTTATCCGCAACACGTACGCGCGCTAAGCACCCCGAATTAGCCGTAGATGCGTGCTGCGCTGCCATACTATTACAACCAATCCCAACCCTCCCGTCCCGCATCCGCATCACCGCCATAATCGAATGTATCTCCGCAAGAAACGTCTCCAAGAAGACGTCGGATCTGAATTGAACATAAGCAAATGGTGACACGGGCATACCTGGTCGGACTGATCCAAGGTCAGGTCACTAGGCCGGGAACACACGATGCCGCTGATCCTCGCCTGTCCTCGCTCCCCTTGGTGCTACGTATCGACAGGTGCGGCAAGTGCGATGCACGGATGGCCGCGGTGAGAGCCGATGATGCACTAGTGATACGGCCAGCCGCGTTTCCGTCGTCTAGCCGACTTGGCAACGACAACGATAACGACGACGAGGATGACGGCGACGAGATGTTGAAGGGATGAGAGACGACGAGCGGGGACGAACGGGCGTAGCGGGACTCGCCCCCGTTACCGGAACTCGGAGGATGACTCGGAGCGACGATGGACGCTCGCCAGCGAGCGTGCGAGAATGGGAGCGAGACCGGTGCACGACAGCACCGCCACAATCGCGCGACTCCGCGCCGCGTATCCGCTGTCGTCTGTCGACCGTCGCGGTGTGCCGTATCACCGAGCATTCGCATCCAGAGTGCACGACCCGACCTAACCTTCCCGAGCTCCGCCGAACGACTGGCGGGCTTGAGCGAGCGCTCGGCGCATTGCTCCGTACGCACTCCCCCCACTCCGCGGCTGCCTCCCCTTCCCTCCCACGCCGCGCACCGACGCGCAGAGACGAGATGTGATGCGACATCTAGGCGTGACACCCGTCGCCCCCGCGCTAGCGACCGTACCATTTTCCCCCGCCCCTTCAATGAAGCGCGGAAGATTCAAACATCTGCGTTTGGCAGATCAGAGGCATTCTGAAACATTCGTTTGCACTTTCACTTCGAAAATTATTCAGCATTTTACATCTCAGAATTAAGTTTGATATTCAGATTGATCGAAAATCACGTAATTTAATTTCATTTTATTAGTTCGCATCTCAGGTTTACAATACGCAAGCAAACGCAGCAAAAAGCGATATTTTTTGTGTTCAATTTTATCTTTCAGTAACTGAAATATCTTCATTAACATGTTTAAGAAAATCTCTCTCTTTAATTTTCTTTAATCAATAAAATAATACTATCTTTGATATAAACGCGCTTTATTCGTAAATGAAATATTAATACTATTATTTCTAATTTAATATCTAATACGCATTGATTTTTGAGACGTTTTTTTATACTAATTAAATGTTTAAGGATAAAATATTGCTAAAATGATGAATAAATCCGAGTAAAATTCAAAACAAGGATAATTCGCCTCGATAATAATAACAAATCACAATATTACAGTCCACCAACGAAAAAAATCATTAATTATCTCGCCATTTCGAATCTGATTTGGTCGATCATTGCATCGAGAGGCAATCGTACAAAATTATACGTTATCACATCCGTTTTTGAGTAAAACGATCGATGATCCTCCTCGGTAGTTTGCGCTACGGCGCACAGATGCAGGGACTACAAACTTGAAAATAGAACGGAATGCATATCCGGTCGCGTTCGCTCTTCCGATCCTACATGCGCACGTCGCTTAAGTTTGGCGCGAAAGCACGGGCGCGCGGCAGAGTCGGCGCGACTTCGGCGGCCCAGCTGGCGGCGCCAGCAGCGCGCTGGAAAACAGAAAGCCAAACCGGTCATGGGAGGCTAGTTAACGACTGTGCACCACGCTTGTGAGTTCTGTTTTCTGGCGAAACATTGGCGATACATTACGCGGACGCCGCGGGAGTAGCACGACGGCCAGCCGGTATTTTAAAAGATGGGAGCGTACTTGTCGGAGCCGATTACGAAGAAGGAGTCGAGCGATGAAGTGGGAAAAAACGTCGCGTACGGTGCGAGCTCCATGCAGGGCTGGCGGATCAGTCAGGAGGTAAGCGGGAAGTCGGCGGCGACGGCGGCAACGGTCGCGATGTGAGCGCGCGCGCGCGCGCGCGCACGCACGCACGCCCGCCGTTTATCGCGCCGTTATCCAGTTTCGGCGAGTCTCTGATCCGCGTGTTTCGCCGGTTACCCGGCTAGCCGATTACCGGCCGCCGCGCTCGTCGGCATGGCTCGTTGACGCGTCCCGCGGCACGCCGAAGCTCCGCGCGCGCACGAGCGAGCACGCCCGACGAGGTCCGGGAACCCCGAGCGCAGCCGACGCTCGTGGACGATTTTCTCGCTAGACGCGATTCATGCGTTTATTTACCAACAGATGAGATAGCTCGATAAGATGACACTCTTGCGACACATTAATCGATCATTGCGCGGAATTGTTCTGTTTGTAAAAATGATTTATTTATATGTAATTTTCTCGCATGTGTACCGTAAAATATTGGTTACTAGTTTGTTCCTGGATGAAAGTATTATTACGCAATAATATACTGAATAATATACTGATACATTAATTGTTTAATCATTTCTCATTCATTCATGTCATTGGAATCTGTCTTATCGTTTTATCATATGGAAATAAATAAATTATTTAGACAAAGTTATGCAATGTAGCTCTGAATTGGGATTTCAGAAATTATAAAGAAATTTTTAGAACAATGCTTGGAATATGTATATTTTATTAGAACAAGAAAGAAACTTTATTAGAGAACTAACTATAACTATTTATTTACAGGATGCTCACAACTGTTGCATAGATTTTGATGAGAATGTTTCATTGTTTGCTGTTTATGATGGTCATGGAGGACATGAGGTTGCGACGTATTGTGCACGCAATCTCCCTGATTTTATCAAACAGACAGAAGCTTATAAGAATGGCGATATTAGAAAAGCTTTAATAGATGCTTTCTTGGGTTTTGACAAAACTCTTACAAAACCAGAGGTAGTCAATGTTCTCAAAGAACTTGCTGGGGCAACTACATCAGAGAAGAAGGAGAGTGATTTGAATGAATCTGGTGCGTTTTTTTTTGTATTAAGAATATGCATTATTACGGGATTTACTTTTATACAAATAATCTTGCTAATTATCCACTTTGCAAGTACTACTTTAGTTTTCCTCCTTATCTACACAAGTAAACTTTTAATAAAGTTATCTTCGTACGTTGCATTGCATATAGATGAAGAAGAGAATGTTAATAATCTGTGTATGGAGGCAACAATGCCATTGGAGCAAGTAATGGCAAAGTATCAGTCAGAAGTATCCAATCCTCATTTAAAAAATCTGAAAGGCGAGAAATGCGGTAAGCGCGCATTTGTGAGTCCTTACTTGAGGGGTCGAAGAGGACGTGAAAAAGCAAGTGGTTCATCCTCTGGCGCGGGATGTTCATCGTCACCATCACCGCCACCAACATCATCTTCATCATCCTTGTCTACATTCGGCTGGAATACCAATGAAACAGATGTGAGTAGTTCCAGCCAACCGTGTGGATCGACTTTGTCCAGTACAGTAGAGCAAAAAGATTCCGATTGCCCGGGGAGCAATGAAGCTGAACAAGTACTGGATTCAACAACGAGCAACGGCAGCGCTCATGCGTCTTCACCAGTGGTATCTACTGCGGATGTAGAACCTGTTAAATTTATGGATATGCCCGATAGCTCCGAAGATGTAAAAGAGAAAGTTTCGAGTCCTGGTAAGGTGGCACCATGTGCGGAGTCTGCAAACGAGGTGGAAGTTAATGGTGCGGAGTCGAAGAGGGTCGAAGATGCGGACAGCAGTAAGGGTGGAGGAGATAATGTGTCCAGCAGTTCTTGTACCCCTGTAGAAAATGGAGACGCAGGTCAGCAAGAACGGATAACCAGCAGTGGTCGAAGAAGAACTCAACCTGTGGACCTTTATCAGAGTCTATTGAAAAAGGATAGTGACGATAGTGAAGAAGATGACGACGATGATGAAAATGATGAAACTTTCGATGGTATCCCCGAAAGGTAATAACATATAGAGCTATATGTCATTTTTTATGTACAAATTTATTTTTAATTATTGTTTCCAAATCAAACTTATTTTTTAATTTTGATAGTGATGGAGACGATACGGAAGACGTTGATGAAGACGAAAGTGATGAAGATGATGATGAAGTTGAGGAAGAAGATATAGATAACTCTGACGATGATACTGACGATGTCATGGTAAACACTGAAAAGGTACAATATTAGTTTTCTTTCATTGAAATTGTGCGAATTATAAATATTAAAAACAAGATTGAGGAAAAAATTAAATATAAATATATAGAATATAAAAGGTGGCTTGAAAAATCTAAAATAATTTTTGTAGCCTGGTTCCGATAGTGGATGTACGGCAGTCGTAGCGATACTCAAGGAAAACGAATTGTATGTGGCCAATGCTGGAGATTCTCGGTGTGTTCTATGTAGGGACGGCCAGGCAATCGAACTTAGTCTGGATCATAAACCTGAAGATGCACCAGAAATGGAACGTATAGTAAAAGCAGGTGGAGAGGTGACGAGCGACGGCAGAGTGAATGGCGGCCTCAATCTTTCTAGAGCACTTGGCGATCATGCGTATAACAAAATATGGTGTTACCACCACAGGAACAAATGATCTCGGCTCTGCCGGATGTAAGGCATATTACGATCGATCCGGAGAAAGACGAATTTATGGTGCTCGCTTGTGATGGCATATGGAACTTTATGACCAGTCAAAACGTTGTTCAGTTTGTGCGCACTCGTTTGTCACAAAATTATGAAAATATTTCGAAAATCTGCGAAGAAGTACGTATAATAATGTTATATCTTATCAATTTCTATTTCTCTTGAATATATCTTTTTGCGAATCTTATGTTGCGTATTTTGCTAATTTAATTTTTATTGAAACTGATTTGAAATAAAAATGATTTTTAAATATTATTTGAATAAAGGATTTTTCAAATTTGTTTTTAGAAAATTGATTTTATTTATATGTATTTTTTCTATATGAATATAACAATTATGATGTTGCAGCTTTTTGATCATTGTCTTGCACCGGACACTCTTGGCGATGGAACAGGCTGCGATAACATGACTGCCGTAATAGTTAAGTTTAAATCGCCGGCAACTACAATTGTTAAAAATAACACAGTTGCTGATGTATGCGTTACGAAGAAACGATCGGTCTCGCCAACCGCTGGGGAGGAAAGTAACGACTGCATCCCGGAAGAAAATACTGTAAACCCCTGTAAACGCGCTAAAACCGAGGCAGCTATATGAATTAAGAGTCACCATGCGTCATGAACTGATCTCCGGAAGAGGACGAATGAATGTGAGTTTATGTAAAATTATGTAACAACTTTATGTTACTATGTAGAGCTGGAACCAATTGGTTAAGCAGTAATAGACATGAAATAGCGTATAAGATGTGTTATTGGTCGTTGCTAACAGACTGCTGAATTGGAGCACGTGGGAATGATATAGTATTTCCTTAATAATGCATGAATCATTTCTCGATTATAATACAATAAATTATTAAAGGAAATCTTCTAAGATCGTATTTTATACATATGTATTTAGTGTCAAATAATATCGTTAAATACGATCTGTTTAATACTGAAATTTATATTATTATTGAGAAATAATTCAATTGCAAAATTAATAATAGAAAACAATTTTGGTAGGGAATTAAAAATAAAGGGGCTTATCTATTTCTTCACAAGCATTTATAAAAGTACGACAAATAATATGTACTCTTAATATAAATGTACAATCTTTTTTTAATTTTGTAGAACTTAATATATATATTACTGTAAGTTCTCTCTAATATAGTTCTATAATATAACTTTAACATTCTTTAATATACAAATCTAATTTCATTAATTATTCATTACATTAATCGAGATTAATTTTATATAAATACAGTGATATGAAAATATATATTCCCAATGATATCAAATTTTTTTTTCTTTATTATAATTAATTATAGTATAATTATCTTATTTTATAATATAATTATCTTATTTTCTATTTTTATTAATTTATTAAATTTTGGTTTTGCTTATAATCTATTACATTTTTCTTGTTTAATAAATTTGCTATGTGCATTGCAAATAATATTATTTTCGAATTGTATACATAAAAATCTAAATCAGTGCAATACATTTGTTTGAATAAAAAAAAATTTGTTCTTTAAATAAGAAAGATATTAGCAGTTTAGATATTAGCAGTTATATTTATATAGATTTGTGTCACTGTATTATTTATTTTAAACTATAATGATTTTTCTAATCCTGATCACATTAAAATATTCCATATATTTTAATTTAATATTAATAATTTTAATCACTGAATGATTGATAATTAAACATTAATAAAAAAAACCCCATGTCTCAATATATCTAAATAATTAGATAGTTAGATTTTTCCACATATCATCTCACTTGCTCCAGATGCACTTACAAAGTATATTCCTTGAGTTTTTAGATTATTAGTATATAAATGTATATATTTATAAATGTAGATTATAGAATTTATATTTGTAAGTCAATACATTATCTCTTTATTTTTACGAAATAGAATTTATTTTTGAATCCCTGGGTATAGTGGTTGAATGGATGGGTGTGCGAATAGCTTAAGATGTGTTTAAACTGTATTATGTAATTAAGGCAATTGCGTATAACGCGTTACCAATTTGTGATCTTGTCTTAATAATAACGTTAAAGAAATACACAAAAAAAAACAGATGTGTACTCGTGTTAAGCTACGTCAAGTGCTGTAGTAGTTTGAAACGATCTAAATTTGAAAATTTGCATATGTCAAAAGTATGTTTTTTGTAAATTTATACAGAGAGTCTTATATATATATAGAAAGATACATCGCGCGCGTAGCTTTGAGAGAACGGTAAAAATGTCGTTTGTCGTACGGAAAAGGGATTGCAATAAAATGAAAGACGAACATGAAATAATATTGTGGCAAATACATAATGGTTATGGTATTTTGGTAAATTCAGAATAATTAATTCTTGCATCACGATACTTGTAATACTTTGATAAACGTGAAGTGCTCATGGCATCGTGATAGTCGTAAAATTTCTTATGATATTTGAAGAAATTGCAAATATTTGTGGTATTATATGATAAGTTCAAGATACTTACAGAGTGTCTCGACGAAAGCAAAATAGAAGATTGGGCGTGTTATATCTGGGAGCAAATCTGTTTTAACTAAGTAATAGAATTCGATCATTGATTGAAATTTTATTTCCTGCACTACTTAGGTAAAGATGTATATTTTTGCTCTTAGATATCTACTCGTGCCTACATGTACATCAAGCTCCTCCACCTGGTATCTACTCAACATGAACACGAGAGTGCTGAGAGAACGCATGTTAAGCACGGAAAATGTCTCTATAGAATTTTGGTCTAAGAAAATAACGTGATTGGATTTATAAACTGATGTTATTATTTGATACGCGCACTATCGTTAACACTTGTCGCATGCTATAAGGACTTTTTAAAGCTTGAATTTATGGTTACGCGCGCGCGTGTGTATGTATGTGTATATATATATATATATATATATATATATATATATATATATATACTAC